CAGACAATCGCCACCTAGAGGCTATTTTTATCCATTTCCTTATATTTTATATATTAAATATATACGGAATACATAGAAAAAAAACCGAAAACAAGATGAATAATGTACAAAAAGAAAAACGTAGCCGAAAGGCAACAAAATATTCCATTAAGTAATCTAGATATATTAGCTTATGTATGTGTATGTGGGAGTAGATGAAAAAATTGAAAATACGCCAAGGTAATTGAAGCAAAAATCAGCAGGTACGGCTGAAAACACAGGAACTGAGCCTGAACATAAATAATTTTACAAATGGCAGGCCCAGTTATCTTCCAAGTAAAACAAGCCTGACAAATTTCCACAGAATATATTCAAGCGGAAAATTTAATCAAAACCTTATTAGAGAGCGCTAGACGCACGCCTTCTTTAAGGATGCAAAACCTGGCCAAATTATGACAGCTGAGCAAACTGCTGGGGGGGTGCAGGTAAATGAAATGGGCGCGTTGACAAAGCGGACCCGTATCCTCAATTTGTCGACAAGCAACAATACAAAAAAGAAAGTCAAAAAAAAAAAAGGAAAATAAATTCAATTCAAATTTTGACACGGGACACTAGCTCAGCCAGCACATGGAATGTGTCACCGAAAATGGGTTTTTTTTTTTGTTTGGGATTCACACAAAAGTGAAATTGGCCGAGTGTGGTTAAGGAGAAGGTCATAGAGGTGAATGGATACCCATCAATTTTCATTTATAAATTTGCTTATGCTTTTGTTTTATGCATTTGTCCGTTTGTCGCTATTTACTGCTGAAATATGCATGAGAGAGGCCGTCACGGTCTGTGTGACTGAGTGTCTCTGGGTGTTTGTGCGTGTATCTGTATGTGTGTGGGTGCGTTAAGACGCGAGCTTAATGTCCCAAACAGCTAGCCAGCATCGCTTAAGTTTTATTTCTTTTTTTTTTTGTACATTTCTCTTTACTTTTTTTCCCCCTGTTTATGTGCGCCACATAAAACTATCAATTTATTGCTGCAAAATCGTTGCGCGCTGTTTCCTTTAGCTGGCGCTTCCTTTAGCTTCCTGCAGACGACGCCCTCACACGTACACACACTTACACACACACACACACACACAAACACATACTGCACTGGTGTGTGTGTGTGTGTGTGTGTGCATTGCATTGCTCGCTCTCGTTTCGTGGGTTTTGTTATTATTGTTGGCAGCATTTTAGGCGCCATACCGACGAGACAACAGGCGTTTCAGCTTTGGCTTTTGAGTCTTTTTGGCTCTTTTGCGGCTCTGGGGGAGTGGGTGAAAAAGGTTTTCTCGCTTCGAACTTTGCTATAACATTTTCTCGACTTATTTTTGCGGCGAACTCCACTCATTCACAGAGACAAGGACATGTATGCATTACGTATACGCCATGTCGTTCTCTCTCTCTCTCTCTTTGGTTGCCTCTCTTTTCCCGACAAAAATAGCAGCATTTGCTTTTTGGCTGCACACTGAACTAACCCCTACCCACAACATGACACCCTGCACTAGGATATACGCTGCTCAGCTGCGACTTGGCAACAGCCAAATCCTTTTTATGCTTTTGATTTTTTGACACTCGACGTGTTGTTGTTCGGGCGCTTATTGTTTGTTTGTCATGGTTGTTGCTATTTCTGTTCTTGTTCTTGTTGTAGTTGTTGTTGAGTGTCTTAGTGTCAACATGCGTTGACTCTTTCGAGCTTATGTCCTGGCTTATCTGCCACTGTAAGTAATAACTTGGGTACAGTTGCTTCTTTTGCGTGTAAGTTGCTCTCCAAGATCTGAACGTGATTTGCATGTAAGCATCTAGCTAAAGACTTATACTATTACAAACTTAGACAGAACCCACATGAAATCCTGTCAAACTTCATTGCCCAATTTGCATAAGCTGCAACCATGCCCACTACTTATCGATTGAGTTTTCTATTGCTCTTCAAACTGCTTTTCTGACGTTAACAACTTTAGATAAGCAAATCCTTAAGTGCTGTGCAATTTTGTAAAGTTGTTTTAGTTGGTTTACAATTGACTTTTTTCTTTTAAATGTGGGAGCACTGAGGCAGCTGCTGGCTGCTGTTTAAAAGTTTTAAATATATTTAATAGTGGTTTCAAATAAATAAATACCTATTACTTAAGCATAGTATTTATGTTAGCATTTTGTTGCCTACTTGCTGCAATTGCAGCACAAATAAAACTAGTAAAGCAGTTTGTGCGCGCTTATTTCGATTTATTGCACTAACGACAAGCGCCCCAAGGTGGAGGTGGAGGTGGTCTAAGGGCAACCGAGCACAAAAATCAATTTAAAGTTCAATAGCCTCGCTTGGCCCAAAAAAAAAAATATAAAATAAAAACAAAAAAAAAAAATAAAACGTCATGGTAAATGGAATGGGGAGTAGAATATGGGCAACGAAAACAGCAAGAAACGAGCGCGTCCAAAATTTTACAAGTTGCAATTTGTGCACCCACTCAAATGCTCTCTCTCTCTCAACCACTAGCTCCCCTCTCTCTCTCTCTGTATATCTCGCTCTCTTTCTATGGTTGCTCTGTGTATTGTACATAGTTATTTGTGTGTGAAATTAAGTTCAAAGTATAAAATGTGGGTTGACGACAACCAGCGACAGCAACTCGATCCAACGCGAGTCGACATGACTTACAGTGGACTGCAATGCAAAAATGGCATAACAACAACAGTCAGCAGTATACTAACAGTTAGCTATAATAGTTTGTACCTCGATGCAAGCACATAAAACTATAAGTGAAAGAGAAATCCCATAAAAGTAATGGACGTGTGTTTTGGGTCAACGTTGCGTATGCGCAATGCGCTCTTCATTTCATATGCATATATGCAAATTGCGTATGCTTCGGTATGAGTATAAATTGTGGGCGTGGCACTTTTAACAAAGCCATGCCACAAACGTGCCCAAGTATTCACATACGCAATTAAATACGATGGCTGCATTGGCGGCTGCGTCGGCGGCGGGCCGCGAATCGCATTGATAAATAGCAATCGACTGATGACGCCGTTGGCGGCGACATTCTCATCGTCATCGTCGTTTGGGGCTCTTCAAAATGCAAATGGCTCTTTGGCACGCCAGGGGCTTTTGCAGCCCCACTCTCTCTCTCTCTCTCTCTCTCTCTCTCTCCACTAACTGTCCCGCTCTCCGCTCAGCACAATGTGCCTAACGAGGCGTTGGGCGTCACAACGATTTTTTGTACACCTGCACCCCTCATCAATTGATTTCATGCTGACAGCAGACAACTACGAACATGATGTCGACTTCATTTGGCAGACAAACAACAGCAAGGTTGGGCAAAGGTTGGGGAAAGGGCCGCAAAACAATTGAGTGTCAAGTTGCGCGCACTGCTTATGCACTTTTTGTTGCTGCAGCTGTTACTGTTACTTCTACTGCTACTGCTACTGCCACTGCTGCTGCAGGTCGTCGTTGTTGTTCTTGTCATTCTTATAAATTTGCTGTAAGGTGATTCAGCAGATATGCGACTGCTGACGGTTGGAGTCGCAATTCTTACCCGAGCGCTGACAACTTGAGCAGGACTCGGAACTTGCGGCTGACAAGTGTTGAAGGGCAGGCACTCAGTTTGTGTGTACAAATGTGTGTACGAACGTGTTGTGTGTGCGTCTGACACTTGTTCATAGCAACATTAATGAATGGGCGTGTTGTAAACTACAGCTTTCATGACGGCTGTGTGTGTAAAGACACCGTCGCCTACTTTCTTGAATGAAATGTGCAAGCGCAGCAATGCTGCAATCTAAATACCGTATCGTATTCCATACTTACACGGAGTTGCAAGTGGGGTTGAGGTTAAAAGTGTCTGCTATTTGGGTTACTCACGGTTATATATGCTAAAAAATTCAAATTTTTATATATTCAAACAATAATCTGATAACATCACTATGCAAATTGAATTGAATCAATGATAAACCCTACTTTACTATTTGTACAAGAAAAAGAAGTAAAAGAAAAAAGCCAGTCAAATGCCAAATCAACTAAATGTTCTGTTAACATCATCATTTTAGACAAAACAACACCAAAAGAAACAAAGAAAGCTCCTTAAACTACCATGAATGAAATTCATTTTGGTAAAATTGTAAATGGGATACACAACAAAGTGCCAACAATCCCCGTGCAGACACATCGAACAAAAAGTGCAGTAAACTTTTTCCAATCGCTGGTAGAAAAATAACGCGGCAGCGAACGGGCTGAAAAAAGATTGAAGCACACTGGAATAGAGAGGTGGAGAGGGGAGAGGGGAGAGGGGAGGCGTAACCTATACGGGTAACTTCAACAAATCTCAATACGCAAACATGTAGCCAGGAGCAACAATAACAATGGCAACAAGACCAACAAAAACAACACAAATGTGCATGTGTGTGTGTGTGTGTGTGTGTGTGTTTCAGAATGGCTGAAACTAAACCGGAGGCGCCAACATGTCCTGCAAGTGATTTATTTTTATGTATTTGTTTGTAGAGTGAAAAAAATGAGTCGAGAAAAATGCCACAAAAAATAAAGTTTTTGCTGTTGTTGTTGCTGCTGCTGCTGCTGCTGCTGTTGCGATGCAAGCGAAGCCGGGTTCGTCCGTCTATGCTTGGAATGGCAACGGTTATCCTGCGAGCATTGAAAGTAGTAAAGTAGCAAACGTACAACTATTTATAACAGCGTGCGCCGCTCAGCGGGGAGTGCGGCAGCATTCGTAGGATGCACAAACAAAATGGCGAATGGCGAATGGCGAATAGCATAGCAAAGCATACTCTTATGCGGGTGTCGTTGCAACTTGCAACATTTAGACGCAAATCATGGCGGACATTAGCGAACGCAAACTTTTGCCTCGCTAGTTGAACGATTTATGTGGAAAGTTGTTACCTGCTCAGCAATTGAGGTTTTATGTGTGTGTGGGGGGAGGGGGGAGGAGTAGGGTGGCATTATGCATAAAACTATGTTGACTAACTGTGCAACCTGTTTTATTTCTTGTGTACTTGCAGAGTGCCCCACCGCAATGGATGGCATGGAGCGCTTTGCATGCCCCACACCGGATCTGCAGGGACGCTATCGTTGCATAGATGATCATGTGCTATGCGATGGCTTCATCGATTGCCCGGAGGGTGAGGATGAGCATAGAAGCTCCTGCATGTTCTATAAGACGGTAAGTGCTAAAGAAAATCTCAATTCTCAAATTTACCTCCACATTCCAATATCTTCTACTAGAAATTGTCATCAATTGTGTTCCGTTTTCTTTTTCTTTTCAATTGCAGACAAAAGCTCATTTGGATGTGTTAGCGGATGCGTTATTACGCTGGGCGCGGGGGCGTTAAGACCTCAAGGATACACATAAGGACACACACCTACACAAACTGAAAAACACACATACTAACACACTCACACACACTTGATTAAAAAAAAGAAGAGAACACACCTAGACAACCCACGTTAAACATAAATTACAATTAGTTTTACGCTATATACTTAACAATTATCGTGCAAACCTATTAAGTTTAAACATGGCACTCGAACATACACACACACACACACACATACACACACATACTAAACACCCAGCCTGCCCACACACTCTCAACAAAAATAAAAGTATTGGAGAAGAATGCAAAGTTGAGGCATGTAAAATCTCCAAGTAAAACAAAATTAAAATGTATTAAAAATGGCGGCAAATATGAAAAGGTATGATTTGGATTATTATTACACTATTATTAACTATACAAATAAAAATACAAGAACAAATAAAAAAGCAACCAATCAAGCAGTTATTCAAAAATATAAAAAAAAAATTACTCAAAATGGCGTTAACATTTCGAAACGAAAATGAAAACCAAATAAAAAATGGGGAAAAAATATCTAAAGATTTTTCTTTCTTTTTGTTTTGCGCATTAAATCGGGCCTAAACTATAAACTAATTTTAGTATATATAAAAAGTATTCAAAGTATATATTAAAAATATATATATATACGTATATACATGCAATTATATGTATATACCTCGATATATATATATTTAAATATATATACATATATACATATATTTCGTGTACATTATTTAACTATACGTGTATTAAAGTTTAAATGTTAATGCAACAACAAAAACCAAAAATAATAAGAAAAGAAAACCAGAAAAATAAATCAAAACCGCGTTAATGAGCTGAACAGCTGACAGTGGGAGAAGGCAGAAGAATTATATATACATATACACAAGAATGAGAAAAACAAAGAAAAAAAACCAAAAAAACAAAAAAAAAACAAAAGAAAAAATATGAAAAAGCAGACATTAATTATATATAGTAAATATATACATATAACAAATAAATATACAATTAAAAATTGACATAGGTTTTATTGCAATGATAATGCTGATAATACGAATGCGATTGCGAATGCCGTATGCCACTGATAACTGATAAACGATTATCATGTTAATGATAATGATAATGATGATAACTAAAGACGCCGTAGGTCTATGAATGTATGGATGATATTTAAATACATATACAATACATAAACAGCAAAGCAAGAACGAGCAAGAAAAAAAAAAACATTTACAAACTAATACAATGAAGGTATAACATTTACATAACAAAAAGACTTGACTTGATTATACTTATTATTATTGATAGTTGAAGTTTATTTTAGTTTATGCATTCGATTTACATTGAGTATTGTGCTTAACAGCTTCTATAATTGAAATATATAGTTTCTGTATAGATTTGTGAATTTCAATTAAATATTTTCTGATGAGTATTTGCATTACCTAATACCTAATCTTTATGTATAAATCATTTCTCTATCATTTTGTATAATTATGACGGCATTTGCGTTTAATTTCTTTAAATATCTACTTTTGTTTCACTTCATTATTTTTTCATATATGAAACAGTTCTCATGGAAATGGCAGCTATATGTAGTTAAGAAAATTGATTTAAATCAAGTATATTTAACTAACAATGGACTTATAAATATATAACGAAAACAAAACCCTTAAACTTATACAAATACACAAATTGTATACTTTAGTTGAAAGGCTTGTAAAAATGCTAACAAAGAAACCAAACACATAAAAATCAAAAAACCATTTATTTCGTACTGACTTTGCAATTTGATGTCCTTGATTTTTGTTTACCAGCTGATATCTCAAATACAACCGAATAAATTATATAATTAAATTAAAAAATAAAAAAGTAAACGAAACGAATAATAAAAGCAAAATTGTTTTTCTTTTTAATAATATCCATTATTGTTATTATGCATACAAAGTTCCAACAAACAATCAAATAAGAAAACAATCAAGGAAATTTTTAAAACAAAGGACAAAAAAACCAAATACAATAAAAATAACGAAAAAAAAATAAAATGTTGAATCGGTTGTGTATGTATGCAGCATGGAAACCAATTAATAACAATTAAACAATAATGGTTAAAAACTTTTTTAAAATTTCAAATGCAAAAAGTTAAAGCTTATTAACGTGTCTTTGGGAGCTATTTAAACGTTTTTTCCCCCTTTGTTTCATATAAAATTTAATGCCAACTCTTATGTAAAGTTTAAAAAAAAAATGAAAAACAAAAACCAAAAAAGAAAAATAAATTTATTAACGAAATAACATATGAAATTGCGAGCAATAAAATTTCATATCTTATACACAGTACGTATAAAATGCAAAGTAATTATAAACAATTAAAATGAACATTTACTAATAAGTTTTGGGTTTATTATTATGTTCTTATGTGCTGGCACACAGCTCAAATGCGCAAGAAATGCAATTCGCCATAAATCTTTTACACAAGAACTCAATTAATTAGGCCTTTCTTTGACATTGGCCTGAGCTCGGTGTCATTCTTATAAAGCCCATGTTTCCAATATTAGTAAAAACAAGTTAATCTTAATATGGTTTTCATTTTTTCCTTTTAATTTCCATGTTGATTTTCTATAAAAAAAACTGCAAAATAACCCACCTTTAAATATAAATGATAATACTCATAATGAATAATATAAACGATTTCTATACCGGTGTAATAACTCTATATAAATGTTGCTATACTACCAAGAAAAAGGAAACGAAAATAAACTGTATAAAATTATAAGCAAATAAAAAACAATTTATGCATATTATCCTTGCAAACATTATGCACAAAACAAACCAAAAAAAAAAAACATATAAATTAACAAAGCAAAAAACAAATCCCTAACCATGAACGAAAGCGCACTAACTAAGACCCGATGAAAAATATTAACGGAAAACAAATCAAAGTAAACCAAATGCAATGCGACAGATGGAAATTTTAATGACATTTTTGAATGAGAATTGAAAGGAACGAAAAACAAAGAAAACAAAATGGAAAAATATACATATACATCTATTTTTGGCCTATTTTTCTATAATCAAAACATACAAAAACAACTTTTTAAACTGCAACAAAACCAAAAAAAGGAAAGTAAACTTTTATAACATGAAATAGATTGCAATAAATAACTACAGTTAGTTTGGTGTGCGTTAATGTAAATACACATAAGTTAATTGATTTTATTTTTGAAACTCTATATTTATTTGATTTTTATATATATATTTACTCATATTTCTTAGCTATGTTTAAACTTAACGATGATCGTTTTAATATTTTGCATTTCCCTGACTTGACATTTTGGGCTGCCGTCAAATTGGCAACCTAATTGTGTGTACAAATTTGTATATAAATATATTTAACTAAATATCAAAAAACTGACTTTTTCATTTTCTGTTCATTTTTATTTTTGAGCAATAACAATTTTACAACAAACTTTATTTATTTTATTACGATATAATAAATACATATAATTTAAGGCATAGCGAAAAAGAAAACAAACCTAGCGAAACCGAAGAAAACAATTTCTTTAACATACAACAACACAAATATGATAACAAATAATTGTTAAATGTTTAAAGTAAAAACAAAATACAAGTGCATAGACAAACACAGACAAACATACATAGACACACACACATGCATACAACAAAATATATATAATAAAATACACACATATATACAGAATAAGTATATAGAACACACATACAACACAGTCAGTCAATGAATGAAAAACCTAAAAATAGACAACACTACTTGTATTTATTTGTATTTGTATATTTAAAAAAAAAAACATACAAACAATAAACATACAAAAAACAAAGAGAACATTAAAATTAACTTTTACCAATGTAGCAAATGGCCCAAAGCAAAAATGCCATTCGCACAATTTTTTAAAATCTTATTAAAATTAAAAACAAAAGTTCAATTCAAATTATAATTTTCATCTACGTATTTGTACTTTGTATTTGTATTTGCTGTACATAAGTTTTGCCTGCCTATCTCTCTATAACCCTATCTCTGTTAAATCTTTCATTTAAATATATGAAAGCTAGTTAATCATAAATAATGTACGCATTTTTGCGGTCATTTTTTTGAGTATAATTATAATTCCATTATATTTTACTGTTTACATATTAAATATATTAATAAATTATATATACGAATACTATATAATACAAACAGAAAAAAACAAAACAAAACAAAACAAACGAAAAACTATACATGAAGATGAAGAAAACAAATACACAACTTAATATACACTGAAAACAAAACCAACTATGCATTTCTGATTTAAAAACAAAACACTCTTCTTTCTCCCCACAACAGATGCTCTACTTTCTTAATTAACAGATCTCTTCTGCAGATAACCTTTCTATTTTCGAATCACTTCAGATGCTGTTATTAATTAAAAATTCCTTTACTTTACCAGTTTCGATTCGTTGCTCTTCTTCACAACTCTCCTTTCCTTTCTGACTCACTTGTCTTTAGCTATCCTTCTCTCTACTTCTGAATCCAGTTTGAAAAAGTCTCTCTTTCAACAACAACAATAACATCAACAACAACAAACATGAAACACATCCAATGACAAATAACACACAGCACAGCTCATGGTAACAATTTAACACATACAGTAAGTTACCCTTATAAACTACTTATGTATTTACATTTGCATTTGCTTTTATTTTATTTGATGTCTATTTTCGTTATTCACGAAGTCAAATATGTGTTCAACTTAAGCAGCTACTATGAAGTAGCACTTGTTTTTTCAACCTTTTCGTAGTAGTTTGCAAGCAGTTGAAGTGCAATTAAAAACTCAAAGCTTAGTTAATTTCGAGGGCAACTTTCGGAGTATTCATGGAATCTTCTGAGGCTAGCTTCTTAACGCATTCTTCAAATTAGTCCGTGAAGCCAACGAAGGCAGCTGCCTTTTAGGCAATCCAATTTCTACAAGTTCCGAGATTGTCTGTTGCTTACCAACCCTGGCAAATTCAGAAACTTCTTAACAACAAAAAGGCACGAAGGTTTTTTATAATTATCAATTTTTAGAAACTAAATACATTTTTAAGCAGTAAAATTGAATGGAATTACGTTTAGATTAATGTGAGTAATTTATATGTTTTTAACATCAATAAATGAGAAAAGAGTAGGAAGATATTAAGTGCAGAAGAGCGTTAAGCGTGGAAGCCGTTGGTTTTTTAGAGCGAAGTCAAAGGTCAGGAACATTTTTGGAATGGATTTTAATGGATTTTTGGAAAGCTGAATAGCAAATTGAATGAGCAGCTGGTAATGAAAAGCAGTTTAGCAACTTTATTAAAGAAATATATATAAAACATATTATCTATAAATGTTATTTAGTAAATGAATGTAAAGAATATAAATATTAATCCCCAAAGAGTAACTAGCAGTTGATACTCGTACAAGTACATTTTTGCTGAGCA